TCTAACGCTGATAGTATAAACACTATTAGTGTAAGAAACATTAATTCTTTTTGTTTTTCAAAGATATAGGACGAGTAGTTCTTTCTTGATTCTTGAACCACAAATGGTCTATTAGCAGATCATAGTTGTACAATATATTAGTGTTCACATTAATTAGTTGTTTGACAAAATCACCAATCTAGCCTCCTCCCAAGATTTGAATGAATAACATTGTCTATTAGCATACCTTATTTGTAGAATATATTGACTAATAGACAAGTAGAGTATACCTTATAGACTACATCTTTAGGATTACATGATCTAGTAACCTTTTCAATTAGCGGATTTTAGTTGTATTATAATTACATCGATTAATACACATGTACAGTATAATATACCACATTGACTACCATTGACCTGCATAAGTCAAATAATTATAGTTCCAAAAAGTCAAATCTCCTTATAATTTTTAACTTACCATTTTTTCTTGTAAATCTTTCTCAACCTTATTGTCCAACATTAATTATGATGTGAATTTTGGAAATCTATTTAAGACAGTTGACGGATTTTTTGTGATGTAAACATTAATGTCTCTATACCATCAGCATCCAACTCATTGTTGCAATTGCACCCTTATCTCCAACTACTTAAATAACGCTTACCCACTCTGAGAATTAGGAAAGATAAAATTGCTAATAATCCAGTCTCCATTTTCCGGCATTAATGCCTAGTGGCAGTATTTATTTATTTTTTTTTTGCTTTTTTTTTTCCATGGATACCTACCTTCATAAAAACCAATTTATTGATTTCCTTAAATTTTGTTTGTAACCTTATAGGCTTTTGACATTCCTCAACCATATTTGTTGTTTTCTATCTTGACTTCAAGGCAGGAAATATCGTAGAAAGTCCTATTTATTGCCCCCTAATATAGGTTAAAAAGGAGAAAAAAATAGTAGAAGTAAATAGAAAATAATATGAGCCACATCATCTTTTCCATATATGATAACTACTACATTATTAGTGATTAATGTGAACACAAGTACTAAACTAGACTTTAAATTTATCTTTTTTTTTTGTTGATTTCCCCAGCATAGTTTTATTTTGTGATTAAAGATCAAATAAATTAGATTTTTTTTATGATTCATTGATATACCTGTGGTGGAAACTTTAAAAAAATAAAAGTATAATTATGTTGACAAAAGATCGACAACTCAAGTTAGTATCATAGACAAAAATATGTATATGTAACTATCCTGTCTAATTTGCAGAAAAATATGCTGCTGAAGATTTAATATCATTTTGCAATTTCATATCACTAAATTTGATAACTAAAGTTGTTACAGACAAAAATATGTTTGTTTTACACTCATGTCTAATTTTCAAAAAAAAAACTGTTAAATAATTAAATCATTTTGTATTTTGACAACACCAAGCCTAATAATTTTTTGGGATGCTAGCGCAAGATATCTTACACACAAGTTGATATGCATCTTTCCTTACATTCATAATATAATAAATTCAAAAATAACTTTTTATCATATGCTAAATAAACAATAAACAACAAAATGATTATATCTTTTGATTTAGTAATTTAATCAATGGCTCCTATTAAATATTTCTAAATTATTATAATTTAAATTCTCTACAGATTTGGCATTTGTGATGCACAAAGAATTACAAAGTTTATATCATTTAGTGAATATTTTTTTCCTTTTATGATACTCACATTCCAAATAAGGTTTTTACCTGAACTGCACCAATGATAGAGTATAATTTATATTATAATTGTTTGACTACTAAGACGAAATAACTAAAACTTCCTTCGTGATATTTCTTTTTCGTCTCCTATTAGTAAAGTCCAAAGCAGTAAGAACTACAGTAGTCATTTCTTTTTCTTTTTCTTTTTTTTGTTAAATAAGTCTAAAAATTATTCTCACTCACCTCATGTTGCTCCTATGATTTTTATCATAGCAAATCTATCTCCTATATAATGTCCTTCTCTAGACGCTCATATGAACTCATCTCTAGTTCAGTTTCTCTATCACCTTCCATCCCTTATTTCTTTTCTTCCATTTCTTATCTTTATTGTCATTTACATCTTTCTATCTGATACATTTTTATCTTCAGTTCAATTCTTATATCCCTCCAACTTCATTCATTCTGCCTGAGAGATAGATTTGATCCTTTTCAACCAAATTTTTATTACCTACAGTTTAAACCTAAGGGATTTGAAAAGACCATCTTCTTAAGGTACTCGCATTTTGTTGAATGAGGCATCTTTGTGATAGGATGGCGAGATTTTGAGTTAGATATAATTTAATGTTGTTACTCTATCCATTCATTTAAATTTTCTGTATACTTCAATATATGCATCTTATCATGTCTGTTTCGATAATTTTAGCAACCCTCAATTTCTACAAAATAAATTTGTATGGCAAAATTATGATTGCATTCTTTCTGTGCAATAGTAAATTTTTTTTGTGAAAAACTACAATCCAAACAAAGGTGTTTTTGTTTGGATTGCTATTTTCAATTAATTTTGTTTGGATTGCTATGTTTAAGAGTTTCTGTAGAAAAAAGTAATATAACGATTTGATGTATGTAAAATAATAAGTTAATTGAAAAATGTATTTATAAAAAAATATAAAAATTTTTCCGTGAAAAACTACAATCAAAGTCAAATCAAGTTGGAAGCCCGTGTTCCTTAAGGCATTCAGAAGCAAAGAAATAGCAGCATTTATTGAGATAGATTGTCTTTTTACCCCTTGCCTGTTGACTAGCTGGCACATCTTGTTTTATCCTTTACCAATGTCAAAATCAAACTTCACCAACGCTGCCGTTGACTTCTGTGAATCAATCAAAAACTTTGAGAAGAACTTATATAGTTCATCTTCTTGAGTTTTCCTCTCCTAACTCATCCAAGTAATTTTTTTGTTCATCATTTACAATCACAAGACCAAAAAAAAAAAAATGGAAAAAAGCATATAGAAAGGATTTCCATGATAAAGCGCAAGCGAAATAAGCAAATTGGAAATCACATTTGTGCATTAAGTGTACTAACACACTCGTTTATTTTTGCTCCATTTTTTAGGATTTGTGAGTTTGAAATGCCTTCAACAATTGGAAAACGTCCGTTGACAATTGAAGAGTCCAAGAACGTGGAACCATTTGCATCTTCTCCTGCGATTTTGCTTGGACAGGTCAACCTAGAAAACTCATTTGAACTTCACTCTTTGCAAACTTCTTCATAACCATCATTTTGTTATTGTTTTTATAGCAAATGTGGTTCTTTTAGATCCTTTCTTAGGAAGTTAATAGCAGAAAAATCTTTCCTACATGCTCGGTAATTATTTGAGTTGCCATATTTAAAAAAAAAAAATCAATTTTGAGCCTTTCAATTGTTTTTTAAATTTCGACAAAAAAAATTGTTTTTTAAATTGCAAACAACGACTAAAAACTTTTTGTTAAAATTTTCGCCTCCATTATTACTTCTGTCGGAATATTCGGTCAAAATGTTCATTTTTTGTATAAAAAATATTCTGTTGTAGACTAGAAAATTTATTGTTCTTTCTCAAAAAAAATGAAAAAACATAAACTACAAATATAAGGAAAGGATAATTTTAATGTTTGTACAATTTTACAATGAGAAAAGTACATACAGTCAATCCTGCATACATTCATGACATGTGTATCCAAAGCTAGGTCCTCTTTGGGGAAGAAAATGACAAGTTGTAGGTCCAAATTTCTAATTAATACAATCTCTTAAAGTTGTGATCTACTTTGACCATAGTTTGTATGAAAGATTTTCTTTCTCCATTCCTCTTTTACTAAAGGTGAGATAGAGACATATGATGCTAACTTTTGGTCAATCTTAATTATTTTACTTTTCTCTTACATTGTAAATGAATGCGAATCTATTTATAACAAAATATAAATAAACCATTTTGTGTCATTTTATACATGTCGAACTTGAACAGTATAAACTTTCAACTTATTGGCATCAACCCATGATGGATCAACATAATATTTGGGCAAGTAGCTTTACAATTATGATTTTTAATTATTAATTCAATAATTATAGAAGTCGAATATTTCCTACATTAAAAATATTACAATTTTAATGAATAATTTTGATGTTTTGGGTACTTTTTTCAGGCTAGTCCCAAGGAGGTTGAGGCTCCTTCAATATACATGGTTTCAAATGCTTCCGAGGATCACAGTCCAAACGAGGAACTTGAACACAAATCCGACAGTGAGACACAAGATGACAACCCTGTGGAGGGTCCAAGCTGCAGTACTCGTAAGAGAAGACGTTACCATCGCCATTCCCACCATCAAATTCATAAATTGGAATCGTAAGCTTTTGAAACCCCTTTAACATATCAAATGTGCTAGGATTCTTAGCTCAAAGTAAATATAGAACAAAGGGTCGTGTTTACGTCACAGCTTGAATTTTATTTCCGCAGCTATTATTGAATGAAATACCAAAATTGCGCCTCAAGTTTAAATACAATTTGGATTTGGAAAAGGGTAGATTGGTCAATTTTAAAAAGAATTGCTATGGAAATAAAAATTCATTTGCCGTGCAAAAAAGTAACAAAATCAAAAACTTTTAGTGTATTAAAAATTTTAATGTTTTAGGTTCTTCAAGGTGCGTCCTCACCCCGATGACAAACAAAGGAAACAGCTTGGTCTTGATTTAGGATTGCAGCCATTGCAGGTGAAGTTTTGGTTCCAGAACAAGCGTACTCAAATGAAGGTAATTAACTTGACTAGATTTTGTAAACGTACTATTGAAAATCTTGATTACATTTATAAAATTTCCAAAAAAAAAATATAGATACATTATAGGAAGTGATTTTTTGTCATTTACTTGCTATGACTATCAATTTAACTTAATTTTCTACAGACACATCTTGAGCGTGCCGAAAATGCACGTCTTAAAGTGGAAAATGATAAGCTTCGTGCTGAAAACGTTAAGTGCAAAGAAGTTCTTTCCAGGGCTTGCTGCCTGACGTGTGATGTTGCTCAAGCAACAGCTGATGTTTCCCTTGATGACAATCAATTGAGAGTAGAGAATTCTAAACTCAAAGAAAAGGTATAATATATAATTTCACATATTTCTTGAAACCATTTTTGTTGAAAAGAAGTTATCATGATCGTGTTAACACTTTTTTTTTTGGGCATCTTTTTAGATTGCGAACCTAACAGGTCTAATTGCAAGATATGTTGGCAATAAGCACTATGCCGACAATACTTCTGCTTTGTCATCAGCTATTCCTAGCAGCTCCACTGAGCCTCAATGGGTAGCATCACTCAGAGGAGGGCAACAAGATATTACTCAGGAATTCGTTCTTGATGAAGCGTTATTCAAGTCATTGGCTAGACCAATTGGTATTGATAAACCTAAAGCAATTGAAGTTGTGATTTCTGCCATGGAGGAGCTCATAAGAATGGCCGAAATCGAATTTCCTTTGTGGGTTTCGACCGCGGATAATAGGAGCTATTCCCTGAATGAAGATGCGTACTACAACTTGTTCCCTACAGCAATCGGTCTGAAACCAGTTGGATTCAAAGTTGAAGTATCAAAAGGGAGCGATGTGGTTTTGATGAATCATATGAATCTTGTTGAAGTTTTCATGGATATGGTAGATATCATTAGTGCTTTTGATAATTTGAGTTCAACTGCATAAACAATGCCATTAAAACTCATTAATTTTTTTGGTTTGATTGACAGAATAAATGGCTAGCTGTATTTGCAAGCATAATTTCAAGGGCTTTAGTCATAGAGGTTTTATCAGCAGGGTCTGAGCCTGGAAATTTCGATGGAACCCTGCAAATGGTATGACAGAATTCTCTCTTGTTTTCCTTTGTTTCTAATTTAGTCAATCATTCTACCAAATATGAAAATTTATCGGTAAGATTAATGCATAATAGTTCTCTTATTGTCCTTCAAATTACTTAATATATCTTTTTAACAATTGAATATACAGATGACTGCAGAGTATCAAATCCTCACACCAACGGTTCCAACGAGGGAGAGCATTTTCTTGAGATACTGTAAACAATTAGGTGAAGGTACATGGGGGATCGTTGATGTTTCGTTTGACAATTTACTTTGTTTAGATCCATTAGTCAAATGCAGAAGAAGGCCATCAGGATGTATAATCCAAGAAATGCCAAATAGCTGCTCAAAGGTGATGACCAAAAAACTTTATCTACTTGAGATGCTCTAATTAGTATTTTAGAGTTTACAATTACGGTAAATTTTTATGTAAATTTTGGTCCACAGGCCAACTAAAGGATTATCTGATTTTCCAATTACACTATGCATGTCACCTTGTGATACTTGGTGATTTCAGTGAAATAGGAATTTCATTGACATTTCCTAGTATCACAAAGGTGAAATAGGGCAATTGGTGAACATGCAATCCATAGCTTCACTTTAAAATATGCTCTACCTAAATTCTTGCTATTAATTAAGCACCTTAGAAACAAAATGCAATACTCATATAAGTTTGTAAGCTAATAGTTTTCATGTTTTTTTGATAGATCACATGGGTTGAACATGTACATGTGCAAGATGAAGGTGTTCATTATTTAGGAAAGCCCTTTGTCGAATCAGGTCTTGCATTTGGAGCTCAACGATGGGTTTCAGTCTTAGCTAGACAATGTGAACGTCTTGCAAGTGCACTGGTGACAAATTTCTCTCCTAATGACATCAATGATACTGGTAATTATGATCTCTATTCTCTACTTGAAAACCATTTTCACAAATTAAAGCCATGAATAATTCTGCTTAACTGGATCAAGCATTTTTTTTTTTTTTTTTTACAATTACTCAACATAGCAATTTAACCTTAAATTACTACTTTTATTGCATAGTGCTAATAAGTCCAGAGGGAAGAAAGAACATCCTGAGACTATCTGAAAGAATGGTGCTCAGATTTTGTGCTGGAGTAACTTCTTCTACTGCACATGCATGGCTGAATTTATCTGAAAGTGGAAATGACCAAATAAGAATTATGACAAAGAGGAGAGAAAATGATCTGGGGGAGCCTTCTGGTATTGTGTTAAGTGCTACAACTTCTTTCTGGCTTCCAGTTTCTCACAAATTCGTGTTCGATTTCTTACGTGACGAGAGTACTCGAACTCAGGTATTAAAAGAAATTCTAATTCTTTATATCAACTGGATTGAAATAAGTTGTGGCATTTGTTCATTGGTGGATGCCTTTAATGTTTTTGAACATTCTTTTTTGACATTGAAGAACACACTCAATTTTGAGCACACATAAGTTTTGACTTACATATTTCATCTTCTTTGGATTCTTTTTCAAAAAACTTGTACAATTTCTTACTATTTCTTAACAGCCAAAAACCCACTTGATGGCAAGTTATGTATGCCTTGAATAGAATTTCAAGAAAAGAACAACTAATTGAGTTTATGGAAAACAATTTTCTTTATTACATGTTGGTTTACCGTAAAAATTCTTTTTTACTTTTTGCATTTTGCATTTTTGTTGTTAATAAATCATTCTTATCTCTATAATTTGTTAATTACAGTGGGATATCCTCTTTAATTGCGAAGATATTATAGAAATCGTGCACATCTCTAATGGTAACGAAGTTGGCAATTGTATCTCCTTGCTGCGGGTGAGTGTGATTACTTAAAATTATCTATCTAACTCTTATTCAAACTAGTTGTACTGCTTTTGCCTTTTATTTATTCAAACTAAGACTGTCTTATTAAACTCAATTGAACATACATGACCAAAAAAAAAAATTGAAAACATGTTAAAATAAACTTTCCAATTTTACAGGGTACAAATTCAAACCTTGGCAGCTTGCTGATGTTGCAAGAATGTGGTACTCATCAAACAGGATCTTATATTGTCTATGCCCCTATTGACAATGGCACAGTGGATCTGTTATTAGATGGTGCAAGCTCTGATCATGTAACACTTCTTCCTTCTGGATTCACCATATATCCCAGTGGACCTACACCTAAATCAATTCATGTTGATGCCATTTCTGGTGCTGCTCGAGATGCTGGATCTCTCCTCACTATTGCTTTTCAGATTTTGGTTAATCCCGTCCCAAATGCAAACATTCCTGCAACATCAATTTCCAGCATCAGCAATCTCATTGAGTACACATCTCACAAGATAAGAGCTGCTTTGGCTCTCCGTGGTGCCTAAGTTTACAGTGTAATAGCAAGGTAGAACACATTAACTTATGCATGCTTTTGCTTCTTATGAGAATAATTTTTGTATAAATTGTGACATTTATTGTTTGTTCTTGTAGGTCAATAGTAGGACAAGGCCAGGAAAAGTCAAGAGCGCACTCTAATATTAATTTTGTGTTCACAAAATTTGGCAAAGGCGTGAAGGTGGAGAGGTTCGGGCATTGACTTCTCCAACAACTGTTCTGTAACTTATGACTTTGTATTACCATTGTTGCTTGTGTCTGAAACTTGTGCTTGTAAGTAGAGATGAGTAATGGAGTCATCCATGCTGATCTCTGCAACTTTTATCTTATTTCATGTTTGCTTTTGATTAAGACTTGGATAGGGTAACTTGATGATCTTAAATCTAATACCATAATGCTCCTTTATGGCTCTATGTTGACATATAAAACTTTTGGTTTGACTTGAAAGTGTTTGAGATCTTTGGTTTGGTTTGATTAAGCTTACATCTGGCTTCTTCTCCTAATTTACATGTTGACTGGTTTAGTCCTTAGCTAAACTAGTGAAGTTTGGCAGCTTAGAATGGCAAGAAAGACTAGAACTAAAGCTGGAAGGCTTGCAAGGTCAGAAGTAAGGTCCTGAGTGGTAGAAATGGAGAGAAGTCAGTCATGCAACTTCCAATTTCAAGCTCTAAGGGCCTGAGGGAGAGTTTGATTCAAGGGTTTTCCTCGGACCCATGGGGCTTCAAGGCTTTGAATTTTTCACTCATTAAGATAGCCAAACAGGATATAAAATGGTTCAAGAATCATAATCATAATCGTAGACCCTATCGTGGGTGCTTTCCTTCTAACTTGTTTGGCTTGCAATTGAATGAATTTCGTTCTATAGAGTTAAACATAAAGTCATCAAAGTTCATTATTGGGACCCCGCCACCATTCCAATTCCCAAATTCTAAGTACTGAAGAAATAATTTCTTTATATCATGAAAAACAAAGTTAAAAAATAAGAACCAATTTATTTCTTGCAAGGGACAAAGAATTCCCCAACGATGGGCAAAAAATCTAAGGCTGTGGAAGTTTCATTGCTAAAAAAACTTGTGGCAGAACGTTTACTTGACTGCCAAAATCAAAACAGATCTTCAAAGAAAATAAATAGAGACAAAATCAAATCAATAGTTACATCAAATATCTTAGAGAACAATTAAGCGGAATTTGTCAAGATCGCTATTAAAGACAAATTTTGTGCAAATAAATTAGAATTTCTACTCGATTCATGCATGTCACCTTCAGTCATGTTAAATTCATTCCTCCTTATGTTTTCTGCTACACAATCGTCCATTCCATAAATCTTATGCTGAAATTTTCTTTCTTCTATTCTGTTTAGTTAAGGAAATTGATGAGGATTGCTTTTTGATATATGTTTCTTTTTTTTCAGTTTTTAACTTTTTTGGAGTAATTAAAACATGGTTATTAGAAAAATGTTGTTTAACGTCAAAAGTTAATCTCATGAAAGCTTTTAATTTGCTAGTCTTTTGAAAAGAAAATGCTTAAATAAAAATGCAGATTAGGTTTTTGTTTAAAAAGAAAATGAAGCCCATTTATTTCAAGTAAACAAGTGCAGGCTGATCGCTTTCACAAACTTGCAGCATCATGTGAAACTATATGCCGCTTGAGGCTCCAAATCGTCATATAAGGAAAAAGAAACAGGAATTTTCTACCTTAGGATAACAACTTTTTTTTTTTTGGGCTGTGAAAGCAATCTTTGGCGCTTTTTTTTTTTAGTGAGAAAGGGATAGGATTTAAGAAACAATGAGAGTACAATGGAATTAAACCTAATACCTCTAGTTCCTAGGATTTCAATTTAGCACTTTCTCCATATGCTATACATTCCTTTAGTTTTGGGAGGAGGGGCGGAGGGGGAGTGTAAATAAAAGATTCTGGATTGAAGACCTCTTACGTACAAAAAAAAAAAAAAAATTCCTTTAGTACTAATCGATAATGACTTTCATGTATGATGTAATAATTAGCTCCTAAAATTTCATTTTCCTACCATGTTACTCCTACTTATGTACTACACGGCTAAAAATCTTAGTGTTTGTAATTCTCAACATATACTGTAAAGCTTTCCTAACCAAGTAATGGAACTTAAAGGAAAGGCAAAAAAAAAAAAAAATGTCGAATAGTTTTTGGGCCAGAAAAAATAAAATCAACTTAAATTAAGCACAAAAAAAAGTAGGTCATATCACTTTCACAAATTGGCAAGATTGGTATTATGGCAAGTATTTTTTCACTTGAAACTATCATCCACTTGATGGCAAACTCTTTGATATATGGGCGGTCTCTATTATAAGCTCGAATTTCATGATACACCATAAGCAGGATTTGATTCGATGTGAAGGAACATTTGGCAGTTTCTCCATTTCCTAGGATTATTACTTTTCATTTGGTAAATTGAAAAAAAAAAAAAAAAGTAGGTCATATCACTTTGACAAATTGGCAAGATTGGTATTATGGCAACTATTTTTTTCGCTTGAATCTATCATCCACTTGATGGCAAACTTTTTGATATTTGAGGGGTCTCCATTATAAGCTGGAATTTCATGATCCATTATTAGCAAAGATTTTATTCGATGTGAAGGAACATTTGGCAGTTTCTCCATTTCGTAGGATGTGAAAATGACTGTCTAAGTTCTATTAACGGTTCTTATTGATTGATAGCTATTCTTTGTATTTTCACCTGTTTCCATACTATCTCTGTCGAATCATGGGAAACTAGAATTGAGAAGTATGAATATGATTTGCGCTTCAATTCTGACGGTCAAATGGTATGATTTTCTAGAGTTGTTAGAAATATTGGATTTTACACAGTTAGAAAATGTGTGGATAATTTCACGATATCCTTCCTTCTTCAAATCACATAGATAATTTCAATGAATTTGCTTCAAATATTTAATAGAATAATTTGCAGTTGGAACTTTTCAAATCTTATGAACAACAAGATTGCCGATTCTTGAAAATCATGAAAGATTTTGGTCATACTTTCATATTTCTTTTGTGGCTAATTTTACCTTAGCTATTTTTTATATTATTTTGTTTAATAAATGATGATCTTTTTGGTCATACCCATTTAGGTATGTCAATAAGTTGAATCTTATCCAAATCCAACCCAATATAGTTGGTTAGGATTTGAATTTAATTTCTTAAAACCAGAACCTACAAAAAATCTATATCCTATAAGAGAGTCATAGGTTTGGATAGGTCTGATTTTTTATTATTCATATCTAAATCCAAACTCATATCAGGCCTTATATATATATATATATATATATATATATATATATATATATATATATATAATTAAATTATATATATATGGGCATGTGTGTATGTGCGCGCGTGTGTGTATGTATATGTGTGCGTATGTATATATGTATTTATACTAGTAAATTTATAAAATAACCTAATATTCTATAGCCATTGGATCAATTACAATAAGACTTCATGATTGTTTTTTTTTTTTCAAAACTAATCTTAGTTGTTATTGTAATTGGTATAAACTTTTTTAGGAAACAGAGAAAATTAAAATCAGACAAATGAAAAAGATTGGACGTGGACACAATTAAAATTTTGAAAATAAATAGAAGTAGTCGATAATAGTTCTTTTTTTTCAGTTCATAATATTGCATTCAACATCTTGAATATCAATTTTATTATTTGAAAATAAAAATTGGGTGATATTTAGATTATTTTTAAACACTATATATTTTTGATATATTTTTACTTTAGTATGTTCAGAAAAATACAAAGAATATGCATTGGATATTTAGATTTATAAGTGTCTAGATTTGGACTTACTTTTTCAAACCTATAGGGGTGTGGGTCTGGATCTAGGTCTAACTAAATTTAATGGGTTTAGATCTAGATAAAAGGGATGCAATCCAAATCTTATCTATTAACATGCCTTTACGCATTGATATAATTATGCATTTTGCTACTGTAAATTTCCACCGTAATTCCTTTTTCTCTTTAAATATTTTCATAATCATTTATTTTGTAAAAAAAATTCACGAATGCGTGGTTCAATGCGTTGTCATATTTTATCCAAAAAAATTTCAACTCATTGTCAGAAACTTTTAATGTCTAGGCTAAGTAGAGATCACAATTTTGAAAGGAAGAGCTCCACGGCAATTTGTTCTGAATCTGATCCTTGTATATTTCTTTTGCTCACAAAGTCAAAGAGCATTGATGGTTTCTCAAGAGAAATTTTTTTTTTTGAAGGTCTATCTAATGACTGAGATGAGTTCAAGTGTTGATATTTTTTTAAAAAAATAAAGTTACATATAAAAAGTATATAAATGCAAGTTAAGGTAATAATTACTATTAATTTATATACTTAAATGGTAATTTGTACGTGATTTAAATACATCAATAAGTACCTATTGGCTTAATGTCAAGAGAGAGAATTTATCATGGCTTGGCTGAAAAAAAAATACCAAAAAAAAAAACGTAGGGTAAAAAATAAAAAAGTCCTCTATGATAAATCTAATACATAGAAACATCTCTCGTAATTTCAAAATATACAACACGACACCCCATACTTTGAACTAAATTGTAAAGGTGACGGAATCCGTTAAACTTAACGAAAATGGATGAAATGACCAAAATGCCCTGATATAATTAAACAAAAGACAGCTCAAAAAAATCATTTGTTTTACCCTCTAAATAGAGAGAATTGAGGGTTGAGGGGTAGAACAGGTATATTTGTTAAAAATTAGGTATAAAAAATTTTTTTTAGGTTCCAATAAGTCATTTCTGTTAAATTTAACGGATTCCATCACCTTTGCAATTTAGTTCAAAGTACAAGGTATCATGTTGTATATTTTGAAACTACGAAAGGCTTTTCTGTATATTAGGTTTACCAGAGGGAGCTTTTTTGTATTTTACCCAAAAACGTATCACCTCATTCATAGCCTAATTGCTTATTCAAACAATATTCAGTAACGTAAATGTGCTCCGTTTGGATTAGCTGTTTTTTAGGGTGTTTTTAAAAAATTTTATTGTAACAGAGTTTTCAGAGTATATTTTGGAATATTTAAGAGTAACAGAGTTTTTAAAATATATTTTGGAATATTTTTTAAATATTAAAAAATTTAGACTATTTTTTAATTTATCAATGTTATCTCAACGGTCTTTTATGTACTTTGTCAAACTCTTTGGATTTGTCCAATGAATGCTAAATGCTAACTAACACTAGGTGTTCGGTTTGATTTGAAAAATCTTTAACAATCTGTACATTGCCAACTGTTTTGAAATCCTTCTTCAATTAATTCACATATTTGCTTTCCTGATTTGAGCCTTATTGCTAATTGAAACAATATTCGGTAACGTAAAATCCAGGATGTAATTTTAAAAAACAATTCGA